TATTTTCCTTAAATTTTGAGAAAAATTTTTTATTCTATTTTAATTCAAATTTTATATAGGTAAGCGTTTTTAGATACTTCTTTACTTTAGTCTTTTTCTGGTTTTTAAGGAAACTTATATAGTTGCAAATTGGAAATATAAATCTTTTACAAGCATTTAAAATGGATCAATACATCAGAGATTTTGAATATCATACAGTGCCTACCTATAGCATAGAAACAACTGATGAATGCACACAGATTTTAAGTATCAATGAAAAAAATAATAAAATTCAAATTTTACACATGAACATTCGGAGTATAAACAAAAATATAGATGAGTTCTCGATTATGTTACGAAATCTTCGACCAATAGTAGATTGTATAATTTTGAGTGAAACCAGAGAAGTACATGACACAAGTCTTTTCGCAATACCCGGATATGATATATTATATAACGAGAGTTATTTCAATCAAAACGATGGAGTTGTTGCTTATGTACGATCGTCTCTAAAATATGTGTTTGAAATCGTACCTATTTACAATACAAACGCTTTAATAATTAAAATAAATTTAGACAATGAGAACTCAGTAAGGTTAATTACATTTTACAGATCTCCAAACTCGGACACAGCTGAGTTCAATATACAATTAAATGAATTTCTTGAAAAGCATGATAATGAAAAAGAAAATTATAATATTATAATAGGAGACATGAACATCGATCTGCTACAACCGAAGAATAACAATACCACTGATTTTTTAAATATTTTGAATGAATATGGTTACATATCAACCATAAATGAACCAACCAGAGTACAAAGTAAGAGTAAGTCTTGTCTAGATCATATATTCCTTAAAACTAATATCAACAATTTTAATAATATTATACCAATCGTCCTGAAAACAACTATAACGGATCATTACACAACAATTCTTCAAATAGTAATGGGTAAAGTACAAAATAAACAAACATATAGTCCAAGATTCACAAACGTTATAAATACTTCCAAGCTACACTTTAAATTTCAAAATATCTGCTGGGACTCCATTTATAAACAACATCCAGAAGCTGCAATAAATGAGCTAATTAAAACTATTTCAAATAATATTGAAGCCTGTACAGAGAAAAAACAACTGTTAAGAAAAAAATATAAAATAACGCCTTGGATTACTAACTCCCTGCTTAACTCAATTAATAAAAAAAAACAAAATGCATGTTGATCTACAAAAAAATCCCGACAAACTCGATTTAAAAAATAATTATAAAAAATATAGAAATAAAGTAAATGTTTTAATAAAAAAAGCAAAATTTGAATATTATCAAGAACAAATTAATGTAAATAAAAATAGTTGCAAAAATCTGTGGAAAGTTGTACAGCAAATAAGCAATACAAAAAAAGAAAAACAGCCTATTGGCAATATAATGCATACAGATACAAATGAACTCTTGGTGGAAAAATTGGATATTGCCAATGAATTTAACAGAAATTTCAGCGAAATTGGTAAAAAAACTGGCAAATCAAATTATTCAAGATAAAAAATATAAATATAACAGAAAATCTCTTCCAAATTCATTCGTCTTTGTACCAATTGAAGAAAATGAGGTAAAACATATAATTTTTAATTTAAAAGACAAGAAAGCAGTTGGAATTGATAATATAAAAGCGGAAACACTTAAACAAATTTGCTGCTACATTGTAAAGCCATTTACTTTTATTTTGAATAAATGTATTGAACACTCCATTTACCCATCAGTTTTCAAACAATCTATTGTTATCCCTATATATAAAAAAGGAGATGTGACCAATACGAGCAACTACCGGCCTATATCCTTGATTACTCATATATCGAAAGTATTTGAAAAACTAATTAAAAACAGGCTTGCGTCTTATTTAAATAAGTATCAAATACTTTCAGTACAACAATTCGGCTTCAGAGAAAAAACTTCCACTCAAGATGCCGTCATTGCTCTGACTACAATGATAACAGACTCACTTAATGAAAGCAAGCCTTGTTTATGTATATTCATAGATCTTTCGAAAGCTTTTGATACGGTCAGTCATCAGCTACTCTTGCAGTCTTTGGAAGATATTGGTATAAGAAATAATGATCTAAAACTTTTTGAAAACTACCTTACCAATAGATTACAATCTGTGAGAGTGGATAATGTACTGAGCAATATAAAAACGATCGAATATGGAGTACCGCAGGGCTCAATACTTGGCCCTACTTTGTTTAATATATATATAAATGGGCTGTTTTCATTGAGGATCAGTGGAAAAATTATCGGATTTGCAGATGATACAGCTTTATTTTATCAGGCAAATAATTGGAAAGACTTAAAACAAATAGCCGAGAAAGACTTCTTGCATATCAAGAAATGGTTAGATTATAAATTATTAACAATAAATATAAGCAAAACGAATTACCTACCTTTTAGTTGTAACTCTTTGGATTCTCCTACCTTTGACCATCTAAATATAACCGATGCAATGTCCATAAAACCTAAAAATCAAATTAAATATTTGGGAATAATTATTGATCCACACATGAGATGGGATAAACATATCACAAATTTAAATAACAAATTACGAAGCCTCCTATATAAATTTAAAAAACTAAAAGATCTCTTACCTGTGAGTTATCTAAGAACATTGTACATTGCATTTGCGATATGGAATTCTAGCATGGGGTGTAGCCCTTAAAACACATATCTATCCATTAGAGGTAATGCAAAGAAGATTTTTTAAAATAATATCTAAAAGAAACAGATATCCATCAGATATTTTATATACTCAGATAGAGTTAATGGACATAAGGCAGCTTTACTACCTCTGTTCAGGAATCAGATATCATGTACATAAACAACAAGCTCCAATTGCAATTCATGAATATAGTACTCGGCACAAACATCATTACATTACTCCGTTTATGAAAAAAACCTGTACTTAACGTTCATATTCCTATATGGCACCAAAATTATACAATACAATTCCAGAAAACATAAAAATCATTGATAGTATATACTTGTTCAAAACAGAGCTAAAAGATTTTATTTTCAAAGGCGAGCGTCACATTATTGATGATTACTTCTAATACTACAGCAATATATACTTAGGTTTAGGCAAATTAAAAATAAGTTATCTGTATATCATAGTTAGAAATGTATTAGTACCTATTGTATGATTTTATTATTATTATTATTATTATTATTATTATTATTATTATTATTATTATTATTATTATTATTATTATTATTATTATTATTATTATTATTATTATTATTATTTTCGTGTTCTCAGCACATGCTGGTATAATTTTTCGCTATACAAAATGTATGAGCTCGGACAACCTAGCAGGGAAACAATTCAGTTTAACCCACTTAGGTACCGTATTTTATTGAATAAAGCAGATTATTATTATTATTAATACAAGTAAGGTACATTAAAACGTGTATTAGATACATAACATGTACTCAATATTAAATAACAATAATTGTAAGTGAAATTAATAGTAGTCTCCTCTTATACTTGGAACAAAAAAAGTTTTATTCAACAATTTCTCTTACCTATCAAAATGTTATTCTTTTTTTTTAAATTTGGTGTCATCGGCATTAACTACTAAGGTTATTAGCCTCGTGTTCTGTGTAGGCTTTGTTACTGTTTCCCAGCACCACTTTAGGAATAGCACTGTTAATTAGAACCCAACAATGAATGGTCGAGTGGGGAATCCTACCAAGGCATCAGAATTAATTTTAAATAATTAAATTAAATAAAAAAATTCCCGGTCATTATTATTTTTCTTATAAATACAAGTTATTTTTAATTTGTATAAAATTCGTATATATTTGGAAACACTAAGAGCTTTCTCTAGTTTACATATTCTAATATTTTGTTTTCTATTAATAAAATTAATCTTTTTCTCTTTAGGAGATAAATGTTTGACTCTACTTTCATTTATTTATTTCAAAACCGTTTTCCTTCGTTTTGAGGGTTGTTCAAATTGTTTATCACTAATACTAAGTTAACGTTTGCAACTCATTTCTTGTTTTTCATTGTGGATATGTAAGCAAATCTATTTTATGCTTCTGTGTGCCTCAACATTTTCTAAAATCTGACTCTCGAGCTGAATATAGTTAGGTATAGTTAAACTGAATGTACTATTATCTAATAAAATTGGTACGGCTTTTGCAATTAGTTGTTTACATTTTAGGGCAATTTTGCTAAAAGATCTTCACAAAGATAGCAAGTTTCATTATCTAAAGTTAAATTCTTAAACCGGTTCTCACGAATTTTAACATCAGAAGGAACAAAGGTTTTATTTGAATTCCCACCTTGTATAGTAGAATAGTTATTTAAACAATTAGGAGCTAAACAAGAATACTTAACTTTACCTTTCGACGCTTTATCCGGGCCAGACATGTTTCAAATATTTTCAAAAAGAATTGAAAATAGGTTCAAAATGAAATTATATTTCGTTAAAGTTAAGAAAACAATGAAACAAAGTCCTTACGCAAATCTAACAGCTAATATTAAATTAAATTGTTAATACTTACTAATTACATCAAACCAGCACTTATGAATCTTCTTAACCTAAAAATATCCCTATTGAACTTATATCATAATAATTATAAAATAACCACAATATATCCCCTGAGGGGATATATTTATGAAAATAACTTTTATTATTTTTACGAGGTTGTCAACATAGTTGTCAAACCTCTCTTTAACATATCCCAACAATAATATGCCACTGTAAGGATGGCATCGAGCTTGACACAAAAACAAAATAAGATGTTTGAAATAACTCTAATCTCATGAAAGTTTATGGCAACTGGCAACATCGCTTTCATCTTATTGCGATGGTGGCTCCAAATAGTATGCTGAGGAACTAAATGTATTACCAGTGTCGTGCATTTAAACGGTTTATCTCACGTATTAATTTATCTATGGAATATACTACTTCGTTTGCTAATATATATTTTTTGTTTCAGTTGGTCTTCTGGCAGCATCGGTGGATATGCCATTATCATGGACCTCCCCCAACTTCATCAAGCTATATTCGAACGATTCAACAATAAATCCTTTACCAGAGCCGATAACAGAAAGCCAAGATGCCTGGATAGGATCCCTGTTAACAATTGGCGCAGTCATAGGACCAATTCCGGCTCCCTTTTTTTGTTCAAAATTTGGAAGGAAAAAGGCGTTACTAGCGACAGCCATACCTTTAATAGTATCTTTCTTTAGTCAAGCGTTTGCTAAAAACGTGTGGACCATTTACATCACTAGAGTGCTTGCAGGAATATCGTTAGGAGCTGGATATGCTCTGTTACCCATTTATATTGGAGAGATTTCTGAGGATTTTAACAGAGGAATGTTATCACAAGCTATTAATATATTTTGGTCGTTCGGAAACTTTTTGGTATACGCTACAGGACCGTTTATGTCTTATATGTCTTTTAACATCATGATTGCTATGTTTCCTACATTATTCTTCGTTTTGTTTCTTCTACTGGCGCCAGAATCGCCGTATTATCTTATAGGACACAACGAGATGGAAAAGGCGTCAAAATCGTTAATGCTACTAAGATCTAAAAATAAAGAAGAAGTAGAGGAAGAAATGTTGGTAATTTCTCAACAACTTAAAGAACAAACAAATAATAGAGGACTAAGGGAATTGTTCGCTACAGATTTTGTAAGAAGAGCCTTTATTATATGTCTTCTGTTAGTGTTTACTCAAGAGTTGTGTGGATTCTCTGTTCTGTTTTTCTACATGCAACTAATTTTTCAAGCTTCCGGTTCTAGGCTACCAGATCAGCAGTGCTCATTAATAATGTCTGTATTTGTGTTGTTAACTAGTTTTGTATCTCCGTTCATAGTCGATAGGTTCGGTAGAAGAACGTTATTAATAGTGTCTTGTGTCGGGATGTTTATTTCGTTAACAGCTTTAGGAGCGTTCTTCTTTATATTAGAAGAGACCCAAATAAGTACTGCTCCATTATATTGGTTACCTCTAGCTAGTTTGATATCGTTTATATTTTTCTTTAATTTTGGTATGTCAGTTCCATGGACGATAACTTCCGAAATTCTTCCTGGTTACGTTAAAGAAACCGCAACGACTGTCATTACAAGTCTCAGCTGGTTGCTGGGATTTTTGTGTACGAAATTTTTTCATAGCATCACAGACAAAATCGGGATGGGTAGGACTTTTTGGTGTTTCGGTGTATATTGTCTCGTAGCTGGAATTGTAATATTTTTCTTTGTGCCGGAAACTAAGGGAAGAAGTTTCAGTGAAATTCAAGATATACTTAAATACGGAGGCGTATTTCAATACAGCTATAAACAGAGGCAAGAGCACCAAATAAATAAGCAAGAAAAGGAGAAATATTAAATTTCAGTTCTAAATTATTTATTGAACTGTTTTCAAGTTTCGAGGGCAGAAACTAATATTCAAAACCGATACTACTTCAAGATTTAATTAATTTTGAAGAACTTCATTTATGGAAATGTCCAAATTATTATAGTAAGATAACCATCTGATTATGTGTCAACTAGTCATTTTATTGTCAGCAAAATATTTTTAATAGGAATAGAACTGATTCTAAAGATATTATCAGTTAGTAAAGAAATTATCAGCGATAATACGAGTAGTACAATGTCTTCTATATATACAGGGTGAGTAAATGCAGGTTGTTTAGAGCAAAATAAGATGGACTGGACTATAGCCTGAATAAAAGAGGAGTGCAGTAAAAGTGAGGATATAACGTCACATTCCATAGGCGTACTTTGCAAAATGAGTTTCTATAATATAAACCGGGTCACGGCAGAGTAAATGGTATAGAACGTGTCCCAGATTCGCTTCTCTATACAGGGATCTCAGCTCCTATTATACCTACAGCAAGGGTTACATGGGAAAAGTTTTAAAGGAAACTTAATGCGTTTGATAACCGGATTCAGATTTACGATCGGTCAGTTGGTTATGGAGATATCGGCGAAAAAAACGAAAATGGCGAATTTCGTTTTAACAGCTATCAAAATATGACATTATTCGGGCACTTTTTTAAGACGAATAAGATAGCGTCTATGACATGTCTCAATCGTCTTTTGTTATCCAGCAATCTCAACTTTCATTTTTCTTATGGCCGCCATATTGGATTTTTTGATTTTTGGAAAGACCGAAAAATTTCCAGTCTTATGATGTGTCACAAGTGCCTAAAAGATTTGAGTATCATCGAAATATCACACTTCGTATGAAGTTACCCAGACAGCACACCAAATCCTTTGGATATCTACTGAACATCCCAATATCCACTGAATGTCCAGTCCATGGTAGACATGCAAATTTCCATAAATAATAGTAATTATATAGCAAATTATTAAAAAATTACGCCATTGTGGCTAATAGTACCGTTCAGATATTTAAAATTAATTTTTTTAAGGTGTATTCAATATCCCATGAACATCCACTAAATATATCAAAGTCTAGGCGCGAACGCAAACCATCGTGGATATCCACTAGATGTTATTTGATTCTGCTTACTAAGTATAGATGGCGATACCACTATCGCATCTATTCATGCTCGACCCGCCGTAATTGAGTTCGATCGAAATGTGTGTTCTAATCACTCTATTAGAGACTGGAGTCGAGAATTTTCATTTATTGCTGAAGAGTCCTAATAAGAATGACTTTCTCCTTAGTGGGCAAAATCAAAGCCCAGACAACACACCAAATCCCAGAGATATCCACAGAATATCTTTTGTGGATATCCAATATATCCACAGGATATCAGAAATATTCCGTGGATCTAATATGAATATCCAAATGTCCGTCTATATCCAGAATATAGAAGATATCCTATGGATATTCAGCAAAATATCTAATGAGTATCTTCCAGACAATACAAGAAATCCCAGAGATATCCACAGAATATATTTTGTGGATATCCAATATGGATATAGAATTCAGATATTCAGCAAAATATTTTATAGGTATCTTTAGTAGAGGTTCATAAGTAACCAATGATTATAGAATAACCTCGAAAGAAAATAGAGATAAAAAATATTTCCAACAATCTGCCTTTGATTTTGCCCACTATAAGTAGGGATATTGCGATACTACTGATATAATACTGGTATCGATACTTTTCTTTCGATACCGGGTAATTTAGTACCCGATACTTTGCTTTCGATACTTTACTCATATGGGTACTACTTTTGTTTCGATACTACTACTTTCGTTTCAATAATTTTACTACAAAATGTATATTGTAGGATCACTTTATGGTATGATATGTCGGCGTGAACCCTATGACCTTTTTTTTTTTTTTTTTTTTTTTTTGTTCTGTACTCTTTTATAGGTATCGATACTTTCGTTCCGATACCGGTATCGATACTTTGGTTCCGATACTCCTTTCGATACCAGTATCGATACTTTACTGGTATCGCAACATCCCTAACTATAAGGGCACTAAGGAGAAAGTCATCCTTATTAGGACTCTTCAGCAATAAATGGAAATTCTCGACTCCAGTCTCTAATAGAGTGTGATTGCCAAAAAAATTCGATCGAACTCATTTACGGAGGGTTGAGCATGAGTAGATACGAAAGTGGTATCGCCATCTATACTTAGGAAGCAAAATCAAAAATTACATCTAGTAGATATCCACGATGGTTTGCGTCCGCGCTTAGACTTTGATATATTTATATTTATAGTGGATGTCCATGGGATATAGAATAAACCTTAAAAAAATTAATTTTAAATATCTGAACGGTACTATTAGCCAAAATGGCGAAATTTTTTAATAATTTGCTATATAATTACTATTATTTATGGACATTTGCATGTCTATAAATTACATTTCATGGATATAAAATAGATATCCACCATGGACTGGACATTCAGTGGATATTGGGATGTTCATTAGATATCCAAAGGATTTGGTGTGCTGTCTGGGAGGCAGAGTGTTGAAAATATTTTTTATCTCTATTTTCTTTCGACGTTATTCAATAATCATTGGTTACTTATGAACCTCTACTAAAGATACCCATAAAATATTTTGCTGAATATCCGAATATCTTCTATATCCTGGGATATAGACGGACATTTGGTTGGATATCCATATTGGATATATTGAATATCCACAAAATATATTCTGTGGATATCTCTGTGATTTCTTGTATTTTCTGGAAGATTAGATATTTTGCTGAATATCCATTAGGATATCTTCTATATCCTGGATATAGACGGACATTTGGATATCCATATTAGATCCACGGAATATTTCTGATATCCTGTGGATATATTGGATATCCACAAAAGCAAAGAATACCTACCCAAGAAGCGAAACTGAATGAGTTTTCGTATGTTCCAAAACATGGGAACTTAATACACTGGGAAACGTATGAAAATTAATCAATTTTTGTCGTTTGGTTCATAAGATTTAAACACATATTAAAGTAACAATGACAGACCGAAAATTTTTATTAGATTCATTATGTAAAATAGATTATTTTAATAACGAAATAAGTACTGTAGGTACAATAATTACAGTCAGTATACAATAGCTTAAGCAGATGACCTGGTCATTCTACAAATAGAGAATTTTGAGAACAATTATAGAACAGTGGTGCAAGGACCATTCACTGTATATTACTCCCATAAATGGTCCTTTTTAAAAGAAAAAGGATAAAAATGCAACTAAAATCTCCAGAGCTCCTAAACACAAAACAAAACTTTGCAACAGAGGTAAATTACTTAGGTAGCACCTGCGGTTTCTCCCCCAGAGTCGTAACATGGACTTACATGGCCATCGTAAGACCTATGCTAACATACGAAGCAGTTGACTGGGTACCGAAAATCTAAAAATTGACAGCTACCTGCAAAGCAGAACAAATTGAAATAACAGCATGTCTCAACATAACAGAAACCATGAAAACAACGCCAACCAGATCCATGGAAGTCGTTCTTAGTCTTATTCTCCTTGATATTTACATCAAGGAGGTTGAGCTGAAGACAATGACACGCCTCTGCAAGGTTGGAATAAAACCTGATGAACGGTCTGGTGAGGGGAAATGTCGCTTTGGACAAAAGGCGCTCGATACGCTCCTATCGAGATATATCTTCCATAATCCATATAAAGTTATAACAGAACAACGGTTCTGAAACAAAACAAGGGTTCAGTATGTGGAATATATTCCAATTCCTTAAACCTCAACGTAAAATGGGCTGTGAGCAATAGTGCCAATGTAGTTCAAACCGAGCTCGCAGAGATTCTCATAGCAGCAAAAGAAATCACCAGAAACAATATCACTATACAGATAGAAGATAAGCACTACTTACCCTAAACATACTACGAATTTACTCAAGGTTAGTACTAGAATGTCACAAAGCTTTGGCAAGAGTATCCATTAACAATGTAGTCACCTTAAGATGGATCAAAGGTCACGCCAAATCGAAAGGTTATCTTCTTGCTGATTCACTAGCCAAGAAGGCAGCCAACCAAATACTTGTTGGACCTGGCCCTTCTATTGGACTGACAACATCGGTAGTGACAGACCTGATTAAAGAGCATTTCCTTGTGAAATTTAAGGAAAGATGGGATGAAACAAGAAACTTCAGAGTTGCCAGTGAACTTTTAAGTTATCCCGACAACTCTACATCAAATACTTGACTATGACTAGACAGAATCTGCGCCTGATCACATGCATTGCCAAGTATGGAAGCATCTCCATATTATGGGGCTATCAGAATCCACACCCTGCAGGGGGGTGCAACAAGAAGATAATACCATTGAGCATATCCTCTACGACTGCCCGATGCTCTTATTTATTAGAAGATTTGTTTTCGGTGAGTATTCGCTAATACCGGCCGATATAAGAGAAGCACCTCTTGGCGAATTCTGTAGGCTGGCTCACGAGCTAGGAGATGCCTATCATCTTAGGAGGATACACAATGGGCCTAGTGAGGCCTAAGTGCTGTGAAGTAACCCACCCTCCACACATTACATATCCAGAAGTATTGTAGGTAGCTGTAAATGCATTTCGATTGCATCCTGATAGCAGCGACTTGGTTCCTCGGAGTGAGTTTGTCATATATTTTAATTATTGTTTTGTATTATTGTTTATTTACTGTTTTAATTGGAATGATTTAAAGAACAAAAAACATTTTAAATAAAAGACTAATACGTAGGCGTAAATTATCATTATAGGTAATACTGATTTAGAAATTTTAAAAATAAAACATTCACAGCCGGATGCAAGAACGTTCATTAAAATTTATGAACAACGTAATGTATTTTTTTTTTCATGTTATAAAAATCTTAAAACTATCTAATTTCTAATTACTACTTAGATACAATTTCAATTTTTACAAAACGCTAATAATAATATACCAAACGTTTCTCTACATAAATTGACAACTATATTTGACGTTAAACCACCTCTAAAACACTGAGAAAACTTGGCAGTTTTTTGTCCACGAATCGCCCACTTAGTTTCGCTTCTTGGGTAGGTATTCTTTGACAAAAGGAGGCCATGATTTATTTGTCAGAAAATAAATCAGATATTTTGGGATAAATTCCCAACCGTGTGTTAAAAAAAGCAAGTCAAAAAACTCGTTAATTTAATTAACACTTAAACCTTTGAACGTACAAGACTTTACTTCGTAACTGGATATAAATTCACAGATTTTCAAAATGACGTCCATTTGCATTTTTGACAATTAGTGACTGTTTTTCGTACAACCCTAGCGAGTATATTTCCGTTAATGTGTCCAAAACTCTTTGTCTTAAGATTTATAAGGTCGCGGGAAGATCAAATTCATAGACCTCGTTCTTTGTGTGACCCCAGA